TCACCCGAGCATCGACCGCCTACATCTCATGGCGTGGTTCCTAACTGGCTCCAAGGACCAGAGTTAGCCTGCTCACAGGCAGTCAGGGACATACTAGTACACAGTAGATGTCAAACTACTCAAAAGTCCTACCGCTTCAAATGGCGTCGCTTTCAAGCCTGGTGCCAGTCACTGAACATGGATCCGCTACAAGTACCTATCCATTGCACTCTGGATTACCTTCTTTACTTAAAATCGCAAAGTTTGTCGAATTCTTCTCTTAAAGTTCACTTGGCAGCAGTCTCTGCCTTTCGCCCTCCAACAGATGGCTCCTCAGTATTCGTGCATCCAGTCATCAAAAGATTCATGAAAGGAATTGTTAATCTCTACCTTCCACACAAACCCGTCCTGGAGCCATGGGACCTAGGCCTTGTACTGGACACCCTTACCCATTCCCCTTTCGAACGGTTAGCAACTTGCGATCTGGTGACCCTCATTATGAAGGTCAAATTCCTGCTTGCCATCACGTTGGCCCGTCGTGTTAGTGAATTGGCAGCTCTCTCGGCTGATCCTCCACTGTTTACCGAACAAGGCGTGACACAAGGCATGACACTACACTGCCATCCTGCTTTCCTGACGAAGGTCAATTCATCATTCCACATTAATGAACCTATTGCTCTTTCCACCTTTTATCCAAAACTGCATTGTACTCCGGAACATGCCCATTTATACACCCTTGATGTTATGAGAGTGCTTGCCTTCTTCTTGGACAGAACGCGCTCCTTCCAAAAGTCACAGTGCCTCTTGTTCTCAGTTGTGAACTGCTCCAGTGGTCACCAATTATCTTCACAGCGCATTTCATCTCACACGCTGCTACGCTCTCTGTAACAAGCTGCTGCCCTCTAAACCTAAGGCGCATTCGGCCAGGAGCATGGCCAACTCGATTGCTTTCATCAGCGATGTTCCCTTGTGCTATATGTGCTGCACTGCTACCTGGTCTTCCATGTCAACCTTCGCGAGACATTATACCCTTGATCGCTTCGTGGCTGCGGATACAGCGGTGGCTGTGCACAGATGATGATGCCAAAGCACAACCTGAGCCATGCTTCATACTCACCTATAGCGGAGCACCCACAGGGACACTACTCGAAGAGGAAGAAAGTGTTACTCACCCTGTGCAGTAACTTCTTTTCTTCGAGATGTGTGTCCCCGTGGGTTCTCCACAACTCGCCCTCCTCCCTGCTTTGGAACTCCTATGCTTGTATTTTTGAGATGTTCCGGTTAGGAGGAACTGGCGCTTTGGACTGCATGACGCAGAAAAGGTGTGAACGGCGCATGGAGTCTTCTGCACATGCGCGGTCCACTGAGGGCTACTGCTGGGAAAAACTCCGGACTGCGGCGCCGGGATGAGCCCGACACCTATAAAGGGGGACATATCTTGAAAAACAAAAGTTACTGCACAGGATGAGTAACACTTTCTTCCCATGACAAGGCAATGTTGACTTATCCACCTGGCACAAAATATTTCTTTAAAGCAGCAAACAGTCTTGCATGATTATCAAAGTTAGAACAGAGTTAGTAGTAGCTTGCTGATAATCTTTTCTTATGTGTTTAGAAAAGCTCTTTGCTATAAGTTTCTAATATTACATTGATCTATTAATCCTTCAGCCCTCTCATAGCTTGCACTGATCACAAAACACCTTCCATTCTTTTTCTGGCTTTCCTTCTCCTTGTACAACCATGCCTTTTCACGATTAAAATCTTTCCAATTCTTTGGAGGTTGGCAGAATGGTGATTCCATTTCATGTGGCTACCACTGCAATAGCTGCAGTCCATTGATTGTCAGTAAGCCCAGCTATATGTCTGGCCCATTACGTGTCCAGCCCATTACATTTTATTGTACCTGCTTTCAGCAACAGCATCCTGTACTCTGCTGTCTGATCACATCATTGGGGACTCAGTCATGGATTGTAATTCCCAAAATTCTTTTTTTCATTTCCTTCTTTGTGAAAGACCTTTGTTGCTCCTTTATCTTTGTCAGCACTCATATTTTGCTTCTGTACAACATTACTGGCAGTACTGTTGCGCTGAAGAGGTTTGTATGTGTTGCCTTATTAGGACATCCTTGATATAACTGTATGTGCCAGCCAACTTCTTTCTTTGTGAGAATTTATCTTCTTGATTGCAGTGCATGTTAATTTCTTAGCCCAAATAATATGTATTGCTCAACTTTTTCTGTTTGTTCTCTCATGACAATTTATGAGCCTTTTTCAAGGCATCAGACTGCATAAATTTCATTTTTGGGTAGTTCATTTTCAGTCTAAGTTGGTTGCTTTTTGTATTAATTTCTCATAGCATTTTCAGTAGTTTTGTAGTGTTTTTGGCAATCAACATGATCTTGCCCTCAAACTTTAAGATCACTTACCTGCTCTCTGTTGACACTGATTCTGCCTTTCTAGTTCATCCACCTCATTTCCATTTCAAGAGAGGCTGTAATGAATTTTGGAAAAATTCTCTTTGCTTCATGCCTTTTTTTTTGACTGGGATGCAGAGGCGAGTAATGAACAGAGCTATATCTTTAGGACAGTCCGAATTTTCTTTCTTAAATACTTTGTAGTTTGTCAATGCTCTGACCTGCAAGAGCTTTCAGCACTGCACTCATCTCTATGCTGTCGAACACATTTTCTTAGTAAACTAAGGCAGTGCATAAAGGGAATGTGTATTCCTTTGTATGGTCCACTAGATGGTTTATAGTGGAGGTATGGTCCATTGTGCTGAAATTCTTTTGAAAACCTGTCTCCTTTCCTGGCTGGTGCACATCCAGATTCTGTGAGTGTCAGTTTGTTTTAGTGACCAGCTTGTGGTCATGTGAGAAGAGGAATACTGGATAATAGTTCTTTAGATCTTCACAGGCACCGTTCTCGTACATTTAAAATGGTATTGGATTCCTTCCAGCTAGATAGTATCTTCTACATTTCCAAGTAGGGTTTCCCTAATAAACTTCAACATCCTTGTGGGATGCTGCATATAAAATTCTCTGGATATTTTAAACATTTGTCCATCACCCCTCATTTGGCTTCTGTCCGGTAGCTATGAGTTTAACTATTCATTGAAGTTCCATATACCAACAGTATTCCTGAAATAACAAAGGAACAACAGATGGTCTTTTTCATCACTTATGAACAACCCCACTTACTATAACTGAGGGATGAAGAGGTTACTCGGCTTTAGTCCTTTCTTTCTTTCCCCTACTGCCTATCTAATAAGCTCAGGGTTCTGGTTTTTAGTCCAGGCCTAACCCATTGAGTTCTCTCTGAGACTGAATTTCCGTCTGTCATCTCTAGTCTGCATCCATTGTGCTCCTCCAGAATAGTAGATCCCTTTTCACCAAGGTTGAGCCTGAGGCATTGTGAGTGGATAGTGTAAGCCTGTGAAATTCACTTACGTATTAAGAGACCACCTGCTAGGATTTTCTATAAATTCATTTGCTATTTAGAAATCATGAATGTCTTAATTGCAAAACATTTCAGAGATTCAAAATAGTTAGTTCAACTGACCAAATCAGTATCTTGATTTTGGTTATGACATGCATAAGCCCAAAGCCAGAAGCCAAAGTGAAGCATACACATGCTGTCTTTCATCTCCAAATACACCTGAAATCATGATCAGTAAGCACTTTTAAAAAAAAAATGACTGTTTGAAAAATGAATGTTCCACCTTTCATATGTTGGATCTACATGTGATGGTACAATTTTTGGATCATCATCTTTAAAGTAGTGGTTACATTTTATCTAATCATGAGTGTTTTAGAATTGAGAAACTGATACGACATTGACATCAACATTTAATCAAAATATAAACATTGGCAGAAAAGTATGTTGTTCAACAAAGTGAAAAACTTTTTAATGCCTTCTTAATACTTTCTGAAAGTTGGTATGGATATGAAGTGTGTGTGTGTGTGTGTGTGTGTGTGTCTGTGTGAGAGAGAGAGAGAGAGAGAGAGAGTTGAGGACAAAGTTTGGAAACACTAGTATGGTGACATAAAACAAATCAATCTTGAAAACTGTCAAAGGATGTTTTCTTATCCAGAGTATTTTTACTAATAATTTCTTTAGTTACTATTTTCAAAAAGTAGAAAAATATGTAAACTCCATGTTAGGAAAATATAGAAGGATATTGTTTGACCATATTTGAAAAGCAGCAGCTAATCTTGTTCAACAGAAGTAATTGTGTTTAACCTGTGGTCTGCAGATTGCTCCTCCATTCCAAAATTTTTAGAGGTCTGCATAGGGATATTAAATTTAGTTTAATCAATCAACTCATTGATGGATTTTTCCTACAGGCTCTTAATACATTTAAAAATCCGAAGTGTGGCGGGGGGGTGAGCGGGCAGAAGACGGGACATCTGTGATTACTGGCTTGCACTACCCCACTGCCTCCCCTGTCCCCCACAGAAATGGTGCTGGCTTTTAAGCTGGCTCCCCCCATCTCCTGCTCCTGCTCCTCCCCCTCCCCCCCGGCAGTTGAAAAAACGTTGAGAACCATTGTGATAAAATAGAACTTTATCTATTATACTAAAGTCTATATCAAGTTAGCATTGCTATTTAAGGTGAAATTAATTTTTTAAATAAACACAGGACCTGGCACAATGGGGATCTGATTCTGATTGGGATCTCTGGGTGCTACTACTATATACATATAATGAAAAAGTGACAGTAAGTAATGCTAGTTTTTGATAACAGATTAATAAAGTAACTACATTTTTCAGTTGGGTGTTGGTAAAATAAGAAACTTGTGCTGAAGAAATATCAGTATTTTAAATCTAGTTTTAATGTGATTATTTCAGTGATCTTTAGTTTTATTTTCCTCCTAAAAATTATGGGCAGTGTATTTTCTGTGCCCGTTAGGTAACAGCAGTACTGTGTGCTGTCAGTCTTTTACCACCGAAGCGTTTGCACTGTAATCTGTCTCACATGATGATACATCATTCATTGCAACTTTTTCCTTTTTGTATTTTGGAGGTGGCTTGCTAAATCTGTTCCTTCTGTCCACCACCTCTTCCCCAATCCTTTGGAAAAAGAAAAGGTAAATTGCCATTTGCAAGATAAACCCAATACAATAGTATATTTGAAGCTGTATAGCTGCTCCTGATAATGGCAAATTGATACTGTTCTCTTCATTTGCTTGCTCAGAGTGGAGGAGGATAGTAGTGCTGTGCTATTTTGGCTAATTTAATTTTAATTTTAAATGTAAATGTGTGGGGAATGGGAAGAGACAAAAATATTTTCCTGGAAAGTTCATTGTAAAATAAAAAAGGTCACTTTTTTTTCCTTTATGGTTATTATCCATTTAATGCTTGTTGAAGGAAACAAAAACCCAGTTTACATATAAAATATTAAATTATGTAAGGTTCTTATTTCTTACTATGTTAATTTTTTAAAACTCCTTTAAAATGATAATAGTGAACTAAAGAAGGTTATGTATAATGTAGCATAGGTATTCTGTTTTATAGCATATTTCAGATTTAAATGTCGAATGTGATTTTAAAAAGTTTCTAATGTTTTCATTGGATACAAAGAAAATGCATGAATGTATAGCTTTTCATTTTTTCTATAAAAGGTAGTCTTTTTTTTAATCAGGCCATATTTATAACTAATTGATATTTCTGTTAAAACTTACAAGAAAAGGAGTTCCTAATGGCACTGGTTGTTTTTTCCAAACCTGAGGAAAAGCTCTGTAAAGTTCAAAAATTTGTCCCTTGCACAAACAAAAGTTGGTTTAATAAAAAATCGTTAATAAAAGATGTCCTCATCTTCCTTTTCAGTATCCATATCCTGGATGCTGCAACACTGCAAACTAAACTTGAAGACGCTACTTAGATTATACCGAGATGCATGTAAAGAGAATAATCAATAGCCTGTTAATTTTAGCAGTATGCAGCCTGTTAGCCCAGCTCAGAAAGGGAATTAATATATTTGTCTGATAATCTAGTGTAGCTTTTCAGCTTCCACTCCTATTTAATACCCCTGCAATACTATCCTGATCACTAGGATATTGTCACAGGCTTGGGATAGTAGGAGATAAGCACAACTTGGTGCCCATTTAACCTAGTCGTGTGTTTTTACAAAATGGTAAAACGTTATATCCTTTTAGCAGGCCCACTTTGAGGGGGTGAGGGATGCAAAGGAGGCAATTTAAAGGAGACTGGGCAATTTAAAAAGGCTGAAGTGGGGGGGCAGCTGCCAT